ACCGATCGGGCTGAGACTTTGCATGCATTAAGCTACTATGACGTAGGCATACCCTAAGAATGGATTTTGATAAATTCCACCCCTAAGAGGATAAATTAACGCGAGCGAAGACGCGGGCAAAATCTAGTGAAAAATAAATTGGAAACAATTTCAAAGGTTTACTTTTTTTATTTTTTACAGAAATATCAATGAAATATGAAAATCTAATTCTGATAATTATTTAGTGACCAAAAAAATTCAAAGTCGAAATAATAAAAATAGATTACCATTTGTTTGAAAGTAGTTATAGAAGTAGATATTATAAATATGAAAATATTTTTATTCCAATAAAAATTAAGTGATTGAAAAATATCGAATCGTATATAAATGAATCTTTACATAATATTAAACAAAGTCGCCGCTGCTGTCTTTTAACTTATATCTTTTAAATGAATGTAGCAACAAATTTTAACGCAGTTTTTACCAATAGATAGAATGTTTCAAGAGGAAGGTTTATAATTATGTATAAAATATGAGTGTTATAATATAGAACAAACTGAGATATACAAAGATTCAGTAACAAAAAATTGCATTCGTGCGCAGCCGAGACTGGTTGCTAGTGATAAAGAAATAGAAGTAAATTAGAAACTAATTTTAAAACTTTTATATATTACTAGCTATGTTAGTCATACCCTTCCTTGATACATGAGCTATCATCCCATTAATTTGAAAAAGTAGTACCAAAATTTACCCCGAACATTCAAATTCAAAGTTTGTCTCTTTATTTTTTTATTTTATTTAGGATCACCAACAATTGTTACAATTATACAATTAATTTAATTACATGTGATGGGTTATGGTCTAATTGTACAATCATTTAAACAACACGTGCAAAATAATATACAAAAGTTATATAAAAAAAAAAGGAAATCATAATTTAACTGTTTCTTTTATATTATGAATTATGCTTATTATCTATTACTTATACTATATACTTATAATATACAATATATATTACTATTCCAATGGAGCTGTTAAATGTTCGTATATATTTTTTTGATATGTACGGATTGATGGGTGTGGGTATTTTTTTTTTGTTTTTTTTTTATAATCTTATATATAAAATTCTCGTGTCACGGTTTTCGTTCCCATACTCCTCCGAAACGGCTTGACCGATTCTCATGAAATTTTGTGAGCGTATTGAGTAGGTCTTAGAATCGGCCAACATCTATTTTTCATCCCCCTAAATGTTAGGGGTAGTCCACCCCTAATTTTTTTTTTTTTAAGGCAAAACAACGTTTGCCGGGACAGCTAGTATTACTATAGATTTAGATATATCGTTATATTTATATTACGTTTAAATATGTGGGAATATAATTTAGTTCATATCCAATCATACAGGCTTATATTTACCACACAAAGCTTGTTATAATTGATAAAAATAACTTCTTTCTTTTGTATGAAAAACCAATTGAAATTTCAAACGTAGTCAACATCATCTGCTACTTCCTTATCCCATTTATTTGGGGTCGGCATAATATGTTTTTCACTTCCATTCATCTCTGTTCACAGTCATCTCGTTATTTACTCCCTTTCTTACAATATCATTTTTTACACAGTCCATCCATCTCTTTTTCGGTCTTCCTCTACCCTTATCCACATTCATATGTAACACCTCTTTGAATATGATCTTCATTCCTACGTACTTAACATATAATTTTATAGTTTATAGTACACCATGTTTATTTTATAATCAGAATGAGAAACAAAGTTTGACCATTCGATTCGACGGCCCTGATGGTCTAGCGGTTTAGCACACCGCTTTACTTCCGATGGTCGCGGGTTCGATTCCTCGCACAGTGCAAAATTTGTATTCATGACTTGTTTGTTATCTAAGTATTTACAAAAAATCTAAGTATTTATATCAGTTGTCTAATACCCATAACAAAAGCTTTAATTACCGTGGAACTAGATGGCGCTGTGTTAATTGTCCAGGGTTTTTGATTTATTGTTTATTCATTTATTCCCTTCTACATAAGCAAGAGCACGTGTTAACGAATATCAACTCAAACATTTGATTATTTCGGGGTAGATCTACACAATTTTGTCGAAACAATGGCCAGTTTTATTCAAGGATGAAAACATGAATTATTAAACTATTAAAATTTCCTCAAAGGCAATTTTATTGCAACTGTTCGTTACAAAACGAGGCGTGAGTCGTGAAGGACGATCATACCAAAATGATTGACCGTGACACGCTTTGACGTGTAACCAGTTTTATTTGTTTTAGGTAACTGTCATCGAACTGATATTGGATGGTCACCACATAATATCAAATACATACTGTCTTGTGAAGTCCAGTAAAGAAGTGGGCGCTAATTATAATTATTACCATTCATAATTCATTCATTCATTCATAATTTAACTTAATAATGGTCGACTTTCGACCATTATTAATTATAAATATATATTTTTTAATTGTGCATATAAAAATATATAATATTATTTAAATAAAAAAATACACTGACTACCATATTTGAGACACTCACGCTTTGTTTATTCACTCTTTTGTTTATGGTTACTTTAATTTAACACGGAGTTTTCGCGGTCAAATTGAGTATATATTAATATTTTTTGTCTATAGTCTTACTGAATATCAAACCATAATAAATTAAGTACTAAAATATACATATGAAAAAAATTGGTTAAGACATACGTCCAGCAGTAGCCTAATATATGTTGAAAGAGAGAGAGAGAGATATAGAAATGAAAAGCAAATTAGAGAGTATCCTTGGCCAAATCTGAGATTATAGAAGTATAGTGTTTGACAATAGAATCTTAATAATGTTCTAATTTATAATTTAAATAAAGTATGGATTTTCGACCACTGGGTGACCACTAGTACATATAATTACCTTCCTCTTGAATCACTCTTATCTATTGATGAAAAATGCATTAAATAGTAATGATAAATAAGAAATTCGAGAATATAAAATGTATAAATAAATAATAATATTAAATAACCCTGAACAATTAACACAGCGTCATCTAGTCCCACGGGAAGCAGACTTATGTTATGGATACTAGACAACTGAAATAAATACTTATTTTTTTTGTAAATACATACATAATATACATAGAGAACACCTAGATACACACAATCATACTCATGAATATAAATGTTTGCACCGTGCGAGGAATCGAACCGGTGATCATCGGAAGTAAAGCGGTGTACTAAACCGCTAATCCATCGAGGCCGTCAAAGTACATACAGACAACGGGCACCACTTTGTTTTGCATGTAAAGACTATGTTAATTAGTGAAATATATATCAGAGAGCTATATTAGTTGCGGCAAGTTTGCGTGCATTTTTTATAGTAAGACAGGATGTTGCAGGTCATTACAATTAAATGCAGGAAATATGAGCAATGCAATATGTTCAGAGGAAATAAAAACGGAAGGTATAAAGAGTGTTTTAGTACATTGTATTATAACTACTAGTGGTTGATATTCGATCATAAATAATTTAAATTATGCGTTAGAAAATTATTAAAAATCTAATTGTTATTTTTAAACTTTCGTGTTTAATATACATTATTTAAATTATGACGACCTCGGTGGTCTAGCGGTCTAGTGCACCGCTTTACGACCGATGGTCGCGGGTTCGATTCCTCGCACGGCACAAACAATTCTATTCATGAGTTGATTGTTTGTATCGGTCTGGGTGTTTTCTATGTATAATATGTATGTATTTACAAAAAAAAAAATATCTATGTATATATGTATCAGTTGTCTAGTACCCATAACACAAGCTTTAGATAGCTTAACTTGGGTCTAGATGGCGCTGTGTGAATTGTCCTGAGATTATTATTATACTATTATTATTATTATTTAAATTAACGAATAATTTTATGGCAAATCGAACTATATTAGAATTGAAGTACCATCTACATTCGCCTCCTATCGTTCGGTGAAGCTGTAAAGACAGCTGCGGCAGAATAGTTTGTAAGATAAGCTATTAGTTCGAACCTCGGCTCAGACCATTGTAATTTCGATCTCCGTTTGAGTGGAAGGATCGATCGGAGGGAAATGTCAAAACAGAGTTACTTCTCAATTCTTCTCGACTTGAGTTACTTTCCCAACTGATGGTAGATTTAACTTATCGTAACTGATACGATATTGAAACTTTTAAGAAAAGAGGTTATTTCTTCTTAAAGGCCCGTAACGCGCTTGCAATTCCTCTGGTATTGCGATTGCTCATGGTAATCACTTACTATCAGGTGAACCCCAAGCTCGTTTGTTTCCTATACTATAAAAAAATATCTGGAATGTGACCTACAATATACTCAGGTGCTGTCTTTACGTATGAGCAATGCACACACATTTATGTTACTCACACGTTTTATATATATATATATGGTTTTTTATAATCTTATTAATATTATAAACGCGAAAGTTTGTGAGTATGGATGAATGTTTGTTACTCTGTCACGTAAAAACTACTTAACAGATTTTGATGAAACTTACAGTAATATAGCTTATACATCAGAATAACATATAGGCAATAAATTTTACGCAGTTGAAACTGCTTGTGTATATTTCAGGACAATTCACACAGTACTATCTAGACTCTAGTTTCGCTAGCTAAAGCTTGTGTTATGGGTAATAGATAACACATACAAATACATAGATTTTTTTCGTAAGTACATACATACTCGTATTATAGGTAGACAACACCCAGACCAATACAAACAATTCTCGCACGGCAAACATATTTGGTTGTGCCGTGCGAGGAATCGAACCCGCGATCATCGAAAGTTTACCGGTGTGTTAACCATTAGACCAACGAGGCCGTCGTATTTTTTATTACTCCTTTTTTATTTTTGTGTGTGTGCTTTTTTATGCAAATGAAAGTTTCATCTATCTATCTACACGAATAAAGATATTTTTATTTCATTTAAGTAGTTTTGCTCCGTCACTTATTATTTCACTGTATACTTTAAATTCATTTTCTTTCACAGATGAAGCACCGCAATCTATATTTGATTACTACTCTATGCCCGCTTTATCTGAACTGGACGATTATGATCTGTGTCTGAGAGATCCGGAAGCTGTGTACTGTATAGTGGATATGGAAATAATGGAAGATGAAACACCGCTATATCAGTATATTAAGGTCAGTATTTTATGTATTTCAATCTTTTGAGTTATTTATGCCCAGTACCTTACTGTACCTTAGATATATTATTATAACCTTTCATTATACCCAATAATAAAAGGTTATAATAATATATGTATGTTAAAGTATTTTTTCAATTCGACAGCCTCGGTGGTCTAGTGGTTTAGCACACCGCTTTACTATCCGATGGTCGTGGGTTCGATTCCTCACACGGTACAAACATTTGTATTCATGAGTATGATTGTTTGTATCGGTCTGGGTGTTTTCTATGTATAATATGTAGTTATCTAGTATCCGTAACACAAGCTTTAGATAGCTTAAATTGGGACTAGATGGCGCTGTGTGAAATGTCCTGAGATTATTATTATTATTATTTAGGAACCAGTACAGTCCACCGATCTGTTACAACTCACTTGCCCTCTTCATTTATCATATTAGTTAGTTGACATTTGCCACTATGTGGTTCATCAGATTGTTTACCATTCTATCATCATCTGCTTCTTCCTTATCCCATTTATCGGCGTAATATGTTTTTCTCTTCCATTCATCCCTGTTCGCAGTCATCTCGTTATTTACTCCCTTTCTTACCATATCATCTTTCACACAGTCCATCCATCTCTTTTTCGGTCTTCCTCTACCCTTATAACCATCCATATGTAACACCTTCCCTAAAATATTTAATGTTATTAAGATTGTTTATCATTTCAAACACATAAATAAAACAATTATCTCTTAAAACCCGTTGCAAATGATACCAACATTGACAACTGTCAATAGGAATTGTATATTTTTTTAGTCATAGTATTTCTTGTGGTATTAATATAATATTTATTATTTCAGAACTTCTCATCGCTTTCGTATAAAAATTACATGCACACGAAATTACATAGGGGCGTGTGTGGTTCAAAACATTGTGGTCTTAATATGACACATGCCAATGCTTCTGAATCCACTGCAATGGCACTCAAAGACTGCTTCAATGCTTCTATTCACCAAGGTTATGGATTACAGGTAATTAATTTCATTCAATAGGTCAAGACATCTTTACATTAATAACTTTTTTTTTTCGGACTACTCTAATGCTTTTGGCCGCAGCTGGCCTTTACAGCTTCACCGGATGTTAGGGGGCGAGTGCAGATGGCATTCTAAACCCGCGGAAGGACTTATGGAGCGGCCGAAGGCCAGCTCCTGTCTGACGGATACGATTTTAGTCTGGGGGCACCACTAGGGGTTCGAACCTCGGCTCAGGCCGTCGTAATATTGATTGTTTGAATTGGATGGGGGATCGATCGGAGGGGAATTAATAACTAGCTGTACCCACGAATTAGTCCGCGTGGAATTTAACTTTATTTTTTTGAAATGAAAGTAGCATAAGTTACTCCTTATTACATCAGCTACCTGCCAATAAAAGTCCGGTCAAAATCGGTCTAGCCATTTCAGAGATTAGCCGGAACAAACAGATAGACTGACAAAAATTGTAAAAAATGTTATCTTGGTGTATTGTCAAGTGCGAAGTAACACCTGTTAACACTTTGACCTGCATAGATCTATAGTGCTCGCCTTCATTCAAAGTTCGCTACCTAGACCCGTGAGGGACAAGACTTGAAGAATATTCTTCGGAGCGATGGTTTTATTCTTCTCAGGATAGAGTGTATACTTTCCAAAGGAGATATATCCTTTATGCATGACTGGACTACAACCATATTAAATGTATGATGATGTTTCACAATCAAAAAAATAAAAAATAAACTTTTTTGCAGCTGGAATCATTGTCCGTTCGTTACTGTAAGACTCAAGGTGACTACACGCCGCCCGACACTCTGGATTATGTAATTGGTGTTTTATTATTGGCTCTGCTCGGTGTGAATGCGGCTTGTTCAGCTTATTACTTCTTATGGCCCAGTGAAAAGGGAGAAGGTACGTATTCTCACCGTGTTTTTTTTTATATTTTAAATTAATTTATTACAACCGTTACATATACAATACAGCTGTTATAAAAAAATATAATGTCAGAGCAGACCAGTCCCTACAAGGCCTCGATGTCTCTCTTTTCATACTAATAGCTTCGTAATTTCAGGTAACAGATATATGCTAGCTTTCACGATACAGAAGAATTGGAAGGCGCTGAAGTATGGTGGTAGCGCGGAAGGTGGCCTCTTCAAATGTTTCCAGTCTTTAAGGTATAGTTTTCATAGTCATTAATCATCGATTACAAACCTCGTTCTATTATCATATGGAAATGATGCCCCTGACGAGTTGGCGAGAAGAGGATCAGGCAGAAGGTAGCAGGCCCCCTCCCATTCTTGCCATTACCATTCTCACAATTTCGATCCTGGATTCGCCAAAGATCCACTGAGATACAAAACCAAAGATGGAAACAAACCACCGATTGCAAACAATCAAAAGTGGCAATTCCTAGAACAAATCAACGAATGACAAAACGCCTACTAAATCTGGACAGGCACAACATAAAAATAATGATAGGGACAATGACGGGCCACTGTCCCTTAAACAAACATCTGTACACAATAGGTGCTACAGACAGTCCTCTATGCCGGGGCTGCTTTGTAGCCGAGGAAACGGCTGCTCACGTAATCCTGGAGTGCGAAGCAGTGACCACACAACGCAATCTAATCCTCGGAACGGTGAGGTCGCTCCGTGAAGCCTGCGAAGACACCAGGATACTTCTGCGCTTCTGGAAGGAGCTTGGCTGGCTACGTTAGTAGGCTGGCTCTACACGCACAACGGCCCAAATGAGAGGCCAATTGCGGAAAATGGAGTCCAACCTACATTACATTACATTACCTCGTTCTGTTAGAACTTCTGGCTGGTATGGCAGACGAAGTAGAGGGTGGCAACTCAATAAAAATAAATCGGGGTATGATCCCGTGATTTACTAATTATGCTTATAAATAATGACCGCATCAAATATAAGATGAAGAAATTTCAAAAAAGAGTGTATTGTCTGTTTTCATGTTAAATATGCTTACTGTTAGACGTTTTTTGTTTGTACCTAAGCACATATTTACTGCAACATTTAATTTTACCACCTTGTTCTCTGGTTACCTACCCATATATAATTTGATATTTTTATTTTTATTTTTTTTATGATGATGGTAGATAAATATCACTGTTGGGTGATTGGGTGTGTCCTGTTACGTAGAAACAGTACTATTGTTTTTCCTCGCAATAAAATCAAATACAAAAGTTAATCCTTGACTTTTCAATAATCTCGCCTTTGAAAACGTAATAAAAGTTACACTTACTAATATTATAAATGCGAAAGTAACTCTGTCTGTCTGTCTCGCTGTCATGCCAACTACTGGACAGATATAAATGATATTTACTACACAGGTAGATTCTGGGTTGAAAGATGAGATGAAAGGTTGTATCGAAGTGTCGTCATTTTTAATATTTGAAATTTTTAGGCTATTATTAGTGTTCTATATGTATTTATAAAAAATGTATTAAGTTATTCTATCAGATGTTTAGTAACCATAATACAAGCTCTGTTTAGCTTGTGACTAGATGGCGCTGTGTAAATTGTCCATATTATTATTATTATAACTTGTTAAAATATGTCAAATGATGATCTAATAGAGTTTATTTTGTCCATAGATTCTACACTATGGTGATGATCCTTGGTCTTCATTCCATGATCTTCATTGGCTATGGATACACCGCTAATCCGGAATTCATTGAACAAGTAAGTGAACATATTTGTTAAGTTCTAGAATATTTCTAGAATAAGTACATATAGTCTTAAGTATAGTGTATTTCTTTAATAGTTAAATGACAAATAAGTTAACGACCCCCCCCCCCCCATCCCCTTCAAACAGAAAACAGGTTAGGACCACGGGGCGAGCCCCTTTACCCCAGCATCAACTCGGGGGAAACAACCCCTGGGAAACGGAATTTATGCTATTTAGGCATATAATATAAGTATAGCTAAACTAAAAAGGTTGCTTTCAGTAATAAGGCCGCCTAATTATAATTATACATGTATTATTTCATATATTGTTTATGACTTTTCTCAAATATATATAATATATAATATAAAAATATATATAATATGTCGCAAATAAAATATATTCTAAGGCCTATGTTTTGGGTACTAGGCTACAGATATATATATATATATATATATATTTGGTACATACATAATATATATAGAAAACACCCAGATCAATACAAATAATCTCATTAATCTCTCTCAATCTTATAGTCATGAATATAAATATTTTTACCGTGCGAGGAATCGAACCCGCGACTATCGCAAGTAAAACAATATGCTAAACCGCTAGACCACCGAGGCCGTCATGTTTACTTGTTCCAATCGATGCTAAAACTAAGTTATTACATTACGAAATCACGGGCTGAGCTTGTAAATGTATAAAATAGACGTCAGAGCAAAATGGTATGTACATCAATTAAAACTTGACATGTAACCATACTTCATGTAAATAATTGATTACTATTATATTAAAAACCATGACCTATCAAGTACCTATATAATGGGCACACTAGTCAGTTTGTAAACCTAAATTTTCAAGTTCTAAAGTGACTTAGCTGTTTAACTATACACGATTACGAAATACCATATTGCCAACTCAGTGTTAGCTTTTAGTTGTTAGATGTATTGTGCAATTACTAAGTCTATGGGAATTCATGCAAGGTTGAATAGATTGGAAATTAATGGAATGTTCTGTATAGAATAGAATAGAATAGAATAAAAAATCATTTATTCAAATAAACTTACATTGAAGCACTTTTGTTTAGTCATCACATTAATCTACCGCTCATTCGGAAAGCTGTTTAATCACAAGAAGAACGAGCAAGAAACTTGCGTGTTGTTCTTTTAAATAATTTTATTCTTACTTTACATTTTTAAGTTTAATTATGTGAATATAAACTACCAATTAGCACTAATTCAATAATAATCAAATAGAAAAAATATTGAATATACAACCAACTGGTTAAACAATTAATCAGAGGAAATCAGTCATAGTAATTAGAGCAGACCAGTCCCTACAAGCAGCACCCGTTCACGAGTATGACAGTAACGTGGGTATTTATTTAATTAATTTCATTTTATGGGAATGGTATGACAGAAAAGTTGGATAGAATCGTCAGATGCGTTCACTGATATCCCGTCTTATATGTTGCCACTTCTGTGGACCCCATCCGATCGATCCCCCGTCCAATTCAAACGGGGATCAATATTACGACGCCTTGAGTCGAGGTTCGAACCCTTAGCGGTGCCCTCAGACTAAAGTCGTATTCGTCAGGTGGGACTTGGCCTTCAGCCGCTTCATGAGTCCTTCCGCGGGTTTGCAGTGCCATCTGCACTCGCCCCCTATCGTCCGGTGAAGCTGTAAAGGCCAGCTGCGGCCAACAGTATTGGAGTAGTCCGATACTTCTGTGGACTATTATGGCAATAAAGGTGGCCATAAAACCTCAAAACTTTACTCCCAAGTCTAACCCTTTTAGGGGGAAAAGGGGATTGTTAGTAATGTGGACTGACGATCTTATTGCTAGCAGTGTACTCGGTTCCGCCTGGAAAACATCGTGATAAATTGTTAGTGAATTTGTCACGATGGGCTATCTGACCTGACCTCATATTCATCTTAACATTTTCCACTGATGCCCCACCAGCGTAAACCGTTAGCACAGGCGGGTGCACCATTCCATCGTCATCCATAAAAAAACCCTTCAACAGGAATACAACTTGTAAACTGCGACTGCATTTAGGCAACTTTGTATAAAATATTTGTGCAAATAATTTCAAGGTTTCTGTGTGAAAGCTATACAATTCTATTGAGTAGTTATTAATAGGATTCAAATATAAGGTTTCGACATCAGCCGAATTAAAAAAAAAAATAATAAAACCATTGATATGAAATGTTTTATGTATATGTATAATTGTATACGTATTTTTTAATTGTAATATATGGGACACAGTCACCTAGATACATCAAAATAATAATTGCATTTAATAATGTCTAGTAAGACAAATTCAATATTGTCTACTAAGCACTGCTGTGTCTAAACTGTGTCACCCCACCTTACATTTTCCTATTGTTATTTAGTATATAAGATCATTATTTCTATGTACATATCGTCAGTTTATTATCATCTGTAATATACATCGTCTCGACCAACAACATCGTATAATTCACCCGCAACATAATATATGTGCGTCCGTTCTGTGGGCCGAACTGAAAACCAGCGCTGCAAACTATGTTTCCAGCATTATGCTGGGTTGTAGTCCAGATTGACTCTGTTTTTTTAATGTGTAAATTATTGTTATACTTCTTATGTTATGACTGTATAAACCGAGTTATTAAATTCTATTCTATTCTAATTTTTAGGACTAACTTTATGTTTTTACAACATTATTTATTTACTTTATTTACTTGTGTTACTACTATTTGAACATATTGTTAGCATTTCTATTTGAATCATTATAACATTATCAAATCGTTATGATCAAATATTGACGACCTTGGTGGTCTAGCGGTTTGTTTTGCCTTACCTCTGATAGTTGCGGGGTTCGATTCCTCGCACAGTATAAACATTTGTTTACATCAGTAAGATATGTATCACTTTGGATGTTTTCTATTTATACTATGTATGTATTTTATTTTAAATATTTATATCAGTTGTTAACTACCCATAACACAAGCTCTGCTTAGCTTGGAACTACATGGTGCTGTGTGGATGGTCTTCAGTTATTGTTTTTTTACAATTTTATAAATAACTAGCTACTCGCCCCGGCTTCGCTCGGATGTACATGTATTATATATATAAACCATCCTCTTGAATCACTCTATCTTTAAAAAAAAACGCTGCAAAATCCGTTGCATAGTTTTAATGATTTAAGCATACATAGAGACGGACACACAGCGACAGCGGCTTTGTTTTATACTATGTAATGATATAAGTGAGTATTTAGTATGATTGTCATTTTTCTGTCACGATTTTGTTTATCTGTTTGTTCATAGCTTTATTCCTGAAACTATATTCACTGTAACTATTTGAACTGTCGGCGCCGTAATATTAAAAATGGAAAGATCGTATATATTGTACTCATAGAACATCATATCAAAATCGGTAGTTTAGAAAAAGTAAGCAGAGAAACAAGATTGTAATCTAGTGTGACTTTGTTTTATTTATTTATTTTAATTCGGATTTACATCCATATTGCATATATACTACTAAATGTTTTTTTTTTTGCAAAGAGTATGAAATCGAGCTTTCAAAGTAGCATTTATTTCATTATCATTTAACGATGTTTTTTGTGTAATCTTAAATTATATATACATATATATATACCACAGGATAGTCAGTGTATATATATAAATAAACAGTATATGTATATATTTAGACCTATATACATACCGTAAAATTTCATTAGGCTTTTTTTTGTTCAGACATGAAAAGTGAATGGACAGACAGATAAAATTTCGCATTAATGTGATTAGCATAGATACCAAGAAAGCAAATAGTGTATCATAATTCTCTACAAATAAGCTCCACTAAACAAACTTGTTGTTATGACCTTGTACCTACTTACCAAACTTTAGCCGTGAACCTTACTTGTTAGCTTTTGAGATACCCAAACCTTCATACTGTTCATTTAATAATAGTAATATTATGTTATCTGTGATAATAGTAAGCGCTTCTTTATATATTTGTATAAAATCTCTACATACTAGTGAGTCACCCCGGCGTTGCGTACGTTATAAATCTTTGAATCTCTTGGCTTTTCTGTGCAATAATATACATATAATAATAATTTTTTTTTTAACATATTTTTACTAGCTTTTGGCGTTTTGTAATGGAGTAAACTAAAGTCGATTTTTGTAAATCTATACTTATAAATAAAATTGGAGTGTCTGTTTGTAATATTGGAATAACCGTTTTTTACTACATGCATATGAATATAAATACGGTACATACAACAAAGTAACATTTTTTATAATTTTTGTCTGTTTGTTCCGGCTAATCTCTGAAATGGCTGAACCGATTTTGACGGGACTTTCTTTGGCAGGTAGCTGATGTAATAAGGAGTAACTTAGGCCACTTCATTTAAAAAAAATAAAGTAAATTCCACTTATAATATATTTATTTAATTACATACTTTGAGTATGTACCATTGCTAGTCAAGCACTTTAATTTACGAAGTTCGTGACTTATGAGGTAGGTTTAGAAAATGCCTGTGTTTCAAAAGTTCAAAAGTTCCTCTTCCATATTGAGGTGTACTTTAAGTGAATTTGTTAGGATATTTTACAATTTAAGTAGGTTGGTGTAATCGTAGGAGAGTGTGTGTGTGTGTGTGTGTGTGTGTGTGTGTGTGTGTGTGTCTGAGTGTAAGACCTTGTGTGTCTTGTGATATTGTTGATAGTCTAGAAACGCCTATAGAAATGATATTACCGTATCAATAATTCTGTCTGTTCATAATCTAATGTTAATAATCACTTTTTAAGATTGTTTTTGGCCATATGGTGTTTTTGACAATGAATTTTTTATTTCATTTTATTATATATATATGTACATATGCATGCAATGGTAATATATATTAAAATAACAACATACATATTTGAAAAGAATGAATGAAAAGGGACCATAGCTTCCAACGACACCAAGGAATTAAATAGAATTTTCTATTCTATGTTAAAAAGCGTCAGAAATCGCGAACTACAG